AAGCATTTTTATGCCACCCCATTCGCCGAAGCCTCGGGGCGGCTTACAACAATAAATAAATGATTATAATATTAAATCCAAAATATAAACATCCAAAATATAAAAATCCAAAATATAAACATTACATTAAAAATACAAAAATACAATATATTTCCACCCATATATTTGTGAAAAAATAGAGTAACAGCAACATCATACAAGACAGTGTAAATAGCTTGTGCTCACCTACATTTGTATAATGTAGGTGGACCATTTACGGTCCTCCAGATGTTTTGGACTACAATACACAACAGTCCCAACCAGCAGAGCCAATAGTGAGGTATGCTGGAGCTGTAGGCAGAATCATATGGAGAACCACAAGTTGCCCAGTGCTGCAATATCAGAAAACTGTCATATTTGACATGGTTTCAGGAAAGGTCTAATACTTGTTAATGAATAAACAGGAAAAAATGTGCCTAATTGATTGGTCTGCCCAATCCATATGCAGAATCTTAGGTAAGCATTTTCATAAACAAGAATGTTCATCAGCAAGCCTTGCCATTCTGCTTACCCATTATTGTTGTAATGAGCTTATTCCAGTAACAGATCAATTAGGCATCTCAGAAATTATTTTTAGAACATTTAAAAAGGAGATTTCTCTGGTTGTGTGCTTTCAAAATGGGCAGTGTGAGCGCAAAGCACAATTGATTCTATCACAGGCTTAAATATTGACCCCTTGAGTTATGGGGCGGCACAGAAGTAGAAATAAATGAAATAAATAAAATTGAAGGCTGGCATTTATGTAAAGAATGTTTCTCTGAAAATCATGGAGCCATAGAACTATATGAAGCAGATTACTCATCTTTCAGACTACAAATCCCAAAGGTCTGTTAATTTAAACATGCTTGATGGAACAGGAAAAAACAATTAATGCTACTGCTCTGAATTGTAGACTGCGACTATAATGATCAGGGCTGGCCCTGCACCAAGACCGAGTGAAGTGGTTGCTTCAAGCAGCTGCTTATGTTCATCAATGGGCAGTAAATTGTTAGTTAATTTATAATTTTATTTTAGTGCCAGAAATGAAGGGCTGTGCTTGAGAAATTTTTTATGTACTTTCGAGGGCACCACTTTTTGTCCCACCACAGGCAACAAAATGTCTTAGGCTAACCCTGATAAATATTATAGACGAGAATGTTCAGGGAAGCCTTGTTGCTATAAGGTGGAAGATACGCATTGCATGCGAAAGGTCAGTCCTCAGCATCTCCAGGATTATGCAACCCGGGACCGTGCAATTTGCAGCCCTCAAATTGGTTTAGTCTACAATTCCCATCAAACCTTACCATTAACAATGCTACCTAGTACAGATTTGGATGGCTTTAAGTCCCCATTCTGATGTGATGTGTAATGAGAAAGCCCTCTGCCAGAGAACCTGGAGAATACTTGCCAGTTACGTAGACCATACAGACAAGCTGTAAAAGAGAGCTATATTTCTAGAATATGGACAGCATCCAGCTGTGTCATTCTGTTAGTGCCAATGACAATGTGCTACCTAAAACTAGGTTCTGAAAAATGTACAAGAAGGGGATCCAATTAAAGTCATGTTAGCACAACCATGCACAGAACCACTTGCAAGATCCACTTGCAAGATCTTTCAAGTAAATCCATGGAGAAATTGGCAGAGTTTTGCTAGTGTGCCTTGAACTATCATCAGCGATGCAGAATGACATTGTAGGATGCTGCCTGCAGGCTGGAAAACATAAGTCCGCTTGCTTGGAGGGAGGACTTAATTTGAGTTAGATATTATTTGCAGAACCTGTGCAGTACTAGCAATCTAGAAATTATCTCTATGCCCATCTTTCTTTAAATATTAATTGCCTAAGGAGCTCTCGCATCCTTGGAATGAAATAGAGTGACTGCCTTCTCTACCTTGCTATTGCTGAATCAGGTGATGAGGCAGCGGTGGCTTGATATCACACTGGTCCAAGACATTTTGATGCCTGCCATGAGGGACAAAATGGTGGCCCTTGCATTCCATGCACAAAAGCTGACTGGTAGCTAAACCTTTCTTTAACATTGGAAATGGGGCACCATCCTCCATCTAAATTGGTGGCAATTATACTACATCTGAAAGTAGTACTTCTTTTTATCTGTCCTGAATTTTCCACCTATCGGCTTCATGGAATGACTTTGGCTTCCAGTACTATGAGAGGGATAGAAAGTCCCAGAAGTTGTAACCTTTCCTTATAGGAGAGTTTCTCCAAGTCCATGATAATTGTAATTGTCCTTTCCCAATTCTACAATAAGCTATTTTAGGTGAAGTGACCAGAACTGTACATTGTATGCTAAGTGCAGTCACAGCACAGGTATGTATAGAGCAGTGATGGCGAACTTTGAGAGACCGAGTGCCCAAACTGCAACCCAAAACCCACTTATTAATCACAAAGTGTCAACATTACAATAAAACCTGAAAACTGAGGTTTTAGTTTGGAAATGACACCTCACAGCCAGTCCAAGCATATCCTTGGCAGGGCACTGACAGGCCATGTGAATGCGTGGAAGAGTCATGGCTAATATGTCGCAGCTCATGACATCATTGCCTGGTGCTGCTACTCCATTCTGAGTATGAACATGGCCCCTATGCACGCTGTTATCTGATTCTCGGTTGCAGGGGTGATGCTAGGGCGACTTGGATTGAATGCCAATGGAGAGGGCTCTGCTTGCTCGCTGTGGCATGCATGCCAAAGATCACCACCATTGGCCTAACCCTACCATGGTACATTCCCCGAATCCTAATATAGGGGTAAAGTTCCATGGAAAAGAGGGCAATTTTGAAAGAGCCTTCCTTAAGTAGCTTTTTCTGCACAGCTCAACATTTCTGCCCATTCTAAACACATTCCAACCATCAGACCCATGCCAGGACGCCTCAGTTTTCTAACCCGAACCCTAACCCTAACCTGGTGCACACCCCTAACTCTAATATATGAGTAAAGTTCCATGGAAAAGAGGGCAATCTTGAGAAAGCCTTCCTTGAGTAGCTTGTTCTCCACTGCTCATCATCTCTACCCATTCAAAACACATTCCAACCATCAAAATAATGCTTAGGGTTTTTCTAACCCTAAGTCTACCCTGGTGAACAGCTGTAACCCTAATTTAGGGGTAAAGTTGCATGGAAATGACGATGATTTTGGAAAAGCTTTCCTTGAGTAGCTTTTTCTGCACTGCTCAACATTTCTGCCCATTCTAAACAAATTCCAACCTTTAAAACTATGCCTGGACACGTCATTTTTCAAACCCCAACCCTACCCTGGTGCACACCCCCAACCCTAATATAGGGGTAAAGCTCCATGAAAAAAAGGGCTATTTTCAAAGAGCCTTGTTTGAATACCTTCTTCCACACAGCTCAACATTTCTGCACATTGTCAACAAATCCCATCCATCAAAAAAAATGTCAGGACACCTCATTTTTCTAACCCTAACTGTAACCTGGTGCACACCCCTAACCCTAATATAGGGGCAAAGTTCCATGAAAAAGAGGGCTATTTTGACAAGCCTTCCATGAGTAGGTTTTTCTGCACTGCTCATCATTTCTGCCCATGCTAAACACATTCCAACCATCAAAATCATGGCAGGAGACCTCATTTTCCAAACCCTACCTTACCCTGCTGCACCCCCCTAACGCTAATAAAGGGGTAAAGCTCCATGGAAAAGAGGGCTATTTTGATAAAGCCTTCCTTGAGTAGCTTTTTCTGCACTGCTCATCATTTCTACTCATACAAAACACCTTCCAACCATCAAAATCATGCCAGGACAGCTCGTTTTTCTAACCTAAACCAACTCTGGTGCACAGCCGTAACCCTAATAAAGGGGTGAAGTTCCATGGAAAAGAGCGATTTTGAAAAAGACTTCCATGGGTACATCCTTCCGCAAAGCTCAGTATTTCTGCCCATTGTACACATATTCCAACCATCAAAACCATGGCAGGACACCTCATTTTTCTAGCCCTAACACTTAGCTGGTGCACACCCCTATCCCTAATATACAGGTAAAGTTCCATGAAAAAGAGGGCAATTTTGAAAAGGTCTTCCTTGAGTAGATTTTTTCAGCACAGCTCATCATTTCTACCCATTCTAAACACAAAGCAACCCTCAAAATCATGCCGGGACGCCTCATTTTTCTAACACTAACCCTACCCTGGTGTACACCCCAACCCTAATATAGGGACAAAGTTCCATGGAAAAGGGCGGTTTTGAAAAAGCCTTCCTTGAGTAGCTTTTTCTGCACAGCTCAACATTTCTCCCCATTCTAAGCACATTCCAACCATCAAAATCATGCCAGGACATCTCGTTTTTGTAACCCTAACCCTACCCTGGTGCATTCCCCCAACCCTAACTTAGGGGTAAAGTTCCATGAAGAGGGACATTTTGAAAAAGCCTTCCTTGAGTAACTTTTTCTGCACAGCTCAATAATTCTGTCCATTCTAAACGCAGTCTACCCATCTAAATCATGCCAGGACACCTTGTTTTTGTCACCCAAACCCTGTGATGGTGAACTGTTTTTAGACTGAGTGCCCAAACTGCAATCCAAAACCCACTTATTCATCGTAAAGTGCCAACACTACAATAAAACCTGAAAACTGAGTTTTTTAGTTTAGAAAAATCAACTTACAGCCAGTCCAAGTGAATATATATCTATCCTGGCAGTGCACTGACCATCCCTGTGAAAGCTCGGACAAATAGTGGCTAATGTGTCGCTGCTTGTGACATCATTGCCTGGTGCTGCTATTCCTTTCCGAGCATGCAGACTGTGCCTTTGTGCGCTGTTATCTGATGCTCGGGTGCTGGGGTGATGCTGGGGTTACCTGGCTCGAGGGCCAACAAACAGTCCTCTTCATGCCTGCTTTGGCACATGTTCCATAGCTTCACTACCACTGGTATAGATATTGGCAAGTTTATTTTCAATTCATTTCTTAATTAAGTCTACCATGTAGTTTGCTTTTATTTTATTTTTTTTCCCAGCAGACTAATACTTTCATCGAGCTCTTCACCAGAACCCAGGGGCCTCCTCCTTGATCCTCCTTGAAGATTCATTCAGATCCCACCAGCTTATATTTGAAGTAGGTGTTTTGTTTTGTTTTTTGCTCCAAGATGCATCAGTGTGTACACTTCCTTTCACTGAAGCACATTTGTCATTTTAATGCCCATTTTCCCAGCTGGAAGAAAACTTCTGGATCTTCTTTCATTCCCTTTTTCTTTGAACCACCCATAATAATCACCCTAAATTTAGTATCATCAGCAAACTTGGCTACTTCACTACTGACTCCTAATTCCATCTCTTTTATGAACAGTTTGCAAACATTGTTTTTAATACCATTGCCTGTGGAACTCCAATGTTTACATCGTACTATTCTAAGAATTTACTATTTATTCCTGCTGCTTCTTTGTGTCTTTAATAGTTACCGTTCCATAGGAAGACCTTTCCTCTTATTTCAGGTCTGCTAAGTTTGCTCAGGAGTCTTTGGTGAGGGACTTTGTCAAAAGCCTTTTCAAAGTCCAAGTAAACAATCTTTACTGGATTGCCCCTTTCTATGTATTTATTGACAGTCTCAAAGAACTCTAAGTGAGATAGGACTTGCCTTTGTGAAATGGTGATTCATTTTCAGCATGGTTTTCCATTCAATTTTTAATAATGCTTTCAACCAATTTGCCCAGAACAGATATTAAGCTTGTAATTTGCTGTATCCTCCCTGGATCCATTTTTTTGAAAACATTTATACTCCAGTCATGTGGTACAGAACCTGATCTTAGGGATGTATTTCATATCATTATAAGAAGGATAGCAATTTCATATTTGAGCTCTTTCAAAACTCCAAAATGATTAATTTTCAGCTTGTCAATGAAAACCTCATCTTTAGTCACTATTTCCTGTTTTATTTCCTCTGACTCCCTTCCTGAATACATAAGTTCAGGAATGGGTACCTGTCCCAGTGAAGACAGATGAAAAGAATTTGTTCATTTTCTCTGCAATATCCTTATTCTCATTTAGTGTTCCTTTACCTCCATTGTTATCCACTGGTCCAAGTACCTCTCCAGCTGACTTCTTTTCCCTAATATAGTTAAATAATTCTTTATTGTAGGCCTTCATCACTGGGGCTGGTCATACTCAGAAAGGTGACTCCCTTGCAGGCCTTCCTCCTTATGAAGCCCTAGCTAGCTTGTCCTGACTGCTATAGCAGCCCATCTAATTAGAGGGACTTGTTTGAAAAGAAAGGAGGCAGTAGCTGAACTGCTCTTCTGCACTAGCTTCTAGCCAGTGGGAATGTAGATCAGTTGAGCCCCCTGAGAGCAGAGATTTTATTTTTAGGGGAAAGGACAATAGTCAATGGGAGATTTTCTATCTAGGAGATAGCACACTAGTCAGCAGGAATTTTTATTTCTAAGAGAGGTGATAATAGTCAATGGATTGCTGGAAGTGACAACAAAGGATATGTGATTTGGGAAGATACAAGTTTTGCAAGGGCTGTGTTCTTTTTCTGCATTTTTAAAAAGTAACGGATAAGCTGAACTCGCAAATTTGTGAAGGAACCTAGTTCTGAGTTGCTGTGTAAGACCAAAAATCTGAACCTAAGCTGAATGCAAACTGATGCTAGCCTACACTTGATAAAAGTCTGTTTATAATCACACTCTTTTAGTAGCTAGATCTGCACTGGCTGTTGTCAATATAGAGCTACATGTTACTTTTACTGTATCCACTTCTAAGCTTGTGTTTGGTTTAAATATGTGCTTTAGGATCTTTTCAACAATTTGAGAATCTCTGGTGTGGAAAGACTGCAATAAATTTATGTTCCTGTTGGATTTTTCCCCTGGAAAGTTTAACTCCCTTTACTGTACCATTGTTTTGACTTCATCTGATAATGTATGAATTTTAAATAATTTACATGATAAATATCAACTGATACACTGGAGTATTAATTTGCAAAACAAAGGAATGGTTGGCCTACAGTATAAGGTATTACACTTTGAACATTTTAAAGGCTTTTGTTCTGGTGGTTTTATTGAAGTTTAGAGACATGCTTACATAGTCATTCCTTATTAATTAATTTTATTTATATCCCATCTTTTTTCCTGCAAGGAATCCAAGGTGGCTTACTTAATCCTCTTTCCCTCCAGTGTATTTTTCCTCAGCAACTTTGTAAGTTACATTAGGCTGCAATTCAGTGACTTACCCAAAGTCCCACATTCCTCCCAAAGGATGATTTTGCTAACCAGTTTTATTTATTTATTTATTTATTTAGGCAACTTATATTTCTCAGTTAATTAGTCCCAGAGACTCTCTGAGTGGATTGCAAAGAAATAGAATTCACTTTGGCGATGAACCTGCAGAGATACATCCCAATCACAGAGATGATTAAAAACAACAAAGGGTGCTTCCAAATGCAAGTAGGGTCCAGATGGTATCATTTTCCTCATGTAAATCTCCTGTGTTTCTCTTCCTCTTCTTCCAGCCTCTTTCTTACTGCAAAAAACTCAATTAGGAAAAGAAGAAATTGATGCTCAACAGCTTCTCCTTGGTAGAGCTAGGAGACCATGTACAAGCACCCAAAGAATCTTGGAGTCCACCAAATTCTAATATACAGTATATAAGCTGTTTTAATGGAGTAGGGACCACCTCATGATGAACACTAATGCCAATGTGCTGAAGGGCCACACTCCTACTTAGAAGCATGTCCTGGACAGTTAAGTGTGATTTGTTTCCACATAAATGTGCATGGAATCGCAACTTTATCCTGTGCCTATTTCTTCAGAAGTAAATCTCATTGTTTTCAATGGGGCTTACTCCCAGGTAAGTGTGCATGGGAATCATATGCCAGAGCATACTTAGAAATTTCTATTCCTATGAGTTCAATGCCTCTTACTCCTTAAGACGGCACTCCTATAAACACCTGCTGAGGCTAAGGTCCACTGAATTCAATAGAGCACAGTTCGGGGTACAGATGTGCAGTGCAATCCTATACAAGTTTTGTTGTGAGCCGCCCCGAGGCTTTGTTGCGATGGGGGTGGCATAGAAATGTTTTAAACAAACAAACAAACAAACAAACAAACAAGTGCATCCCATGGAGAATTGTAGCCTTAGACTGCAATGCCAGGCACGCTTGGCTTGGATCAAGCCTCACTGAATTTAGCTGGACTTACTGATGAATAAACATGTACAGGATTGCACTGTACGTGCATTTAGGAGTGCAGCCTTAGCTACAACGATGGATGGTTACTGAGGAGCCAGTCGCGCCGATCTCCCTGGAGCCGGGCGTTGGCTGCCACAGGTCCAGCCAGAGCACGAGTCTCTGCGCGGACGAGCGTGAAGCAAGAGCAGGAGAAGCGAAAGAGGGGGCTCTAAGACCCGGCAGAAGCCTCGGCCAGCGGGATCCGGAGCATGCGTGGCAACGATTTGTGCAGCTGGCGGCTGCCTTTCGCTGAGCCACCACTCAGGCTGGGAAAGGAGGTGGGAGCAAGAAATATTTTACAAGTTCGGTTATTACCCCAGCAGCGCCTTGCCATGCTGCTGGAGTTGGAGAGAAGGCGACCAGAAAGTTCCTGACTTTAAGCGGAACACTTTTTGCCTCGGATCTGCCAGTGGGACCCATTCGGAGAGGAGAGCAGGCTTATCTTGCAGTCCACGCGGTTAGTGCCTACACTTTCCCTTTCTTTCCCCTCCCACCGCAGTAACGTGCCGATCCTTCCCCAGGCGGCGGGAGCAGACACCTTCCTAGCGCCGCGGTGAATGGGCTGGAGGCATCGCTCGCTGCGAGCTCACCCCGGCTGCTTCTGCGGCCGCGGGAGACAGCCGAGTCAATGGCTCTGACTTGAATCGTATCTCTAAAGTGGGGGTAGGGGGTGGGTAGGGGGTGAGGGACTCTCCGGGAGCGACCCCTGAGTGAGCTTACATAGGATCGCGCTGTCAGTGGCGCTGCTCTCTGCGCTGCCACAGCTGCACACCTTGGAAAGCTCACCTTGCCTGTCATTTCTTCCTCGCCCCCGATCCTATCGCATCCCAAAGCCCCGTCCCTTCGCCTTTTTTTGCTTTCCAAGCCGACACCTCCCCAGATAGAAGGGACTGCATCCCGAATCTTCCAAAAGTAGGGTTTTTCAAAACTTTTCTTAAAAAAGGAAAAAGATTCTCCCCCCGTCCCGCGTCTCCAGTACCTGATCCTAAACATACGTGTGTGTGTGTGTGTGAGTGAAATACTTGTTCCGTCTCCCTAACTCAACTATAGTGCCTCGTTGTAACCGTCCTGCGGCAATAATGAGCGCCATCGAGGAGGTTAATGAATAATAAAAGGACAAACTTTTCCCACCCTTCCAAAGCAGGTGTGCGTACTCAGAGCTCTTATTCCGTGAGGGCAGAACAGAACCGGAGGGGGATGGTTTCATCCCTACTAGTTAAACACGGGGTGCAAAGGTTGTGCGTGTGTCTTGTGTGAATCGGGGTCAGCAGAAAATACTTTCTGCCATGTGTCGTCTGGATCGGAGTCACACTCAGCAGCCTCAAGTCGTGCGTGCTTTTTGTGGCCATGTGCAACCCTTCCCCCTACACACCCATACACTTTGTTCTCTTTGATGTTCGAATGACACTTATCCTGAACGCAGCCGTGCAGAACGAGTTTGTGAAGTTAGTGCAGCACCAAACAGTTCTGTTATCGCCTAGCGAAGTTTGGGTTTGCCTCTCCCTGGCTTGCTCTCCATCTGTTGCCATCAGTGAAGTAATTCCTTTTTCCTCCCACTTCTCCCCCCGCCCGCCTCCAGATTTGCCTAGTCAAGAGGACTCGAAGGAAGATGTAGCAGGCCCGAGAATGGGGCTTTCGGCCGAGAGTTGCACACAATGGCCAGAGAGGACTCGGTGAAGTGTTTGCGTTGCCTGCTCTACGCTCTCAATCTGCTCTTCTGGGTGAGTTCCCACGTCTCCTGGAGATAAGCAGGTGGCCTCACTCAGGTGGCAGGCCCCAGCAACTCTTGGCAGTTCACCCAAAGGACACATCTCCGTGTGTGAATTGAATGGGATTGCACTTCTGTCTTTTCTCCAGGCGTTTAAAAAGTTCCCTTCTTTGATCTTTAAAGCACTGTGATAAACAATCCTGAGCATTACGGAAGGTTGATTACCTTTTTTAAAGACTGTGGTATGTGCAGGGAAAGTGGGTTTCTATATGGATAAAGCCATAGTATTAAGAGTCCCAGAGGAAAATCAGTAAATATATTTGCCTGGGAGTTTTTGTTTTGTTTTGTTCCTCCTGCTTTTTCTTTGTTAGTGTTTATTCAGTCACTCATTAGTGATGAATTTATGGCCTGGTTCTTATGTAACAACAGTCCTAAGTATGGATTGTAATTGAACCATTGGTTGTTGAATCAAGGGTTGTTATGTGTAAACTATGCACTATGGTTTAACTGTGGGTTGTTAACCATGACTGACCTTGGAAGAGATCCCATGGTTTGATGTTGAGTAGTGAATTCTGGGTTGTTTGTGGTTAACAGACTGCACTTAAACCAAATGCAGAATTCATGTGTAACGGCAACCCATGATTTAATGACACAGACTGAACCTGTATTCTGGGCTGTTATGAGAATCTAGCCAATGATATAGAACATAATTATTCCTAAAAAAAAAAAAAAGAACTTTGATGGGATAAAGTGTTGTGCTCCTAAAAGCAACTCTGCCATGTTCTCAGCCTATTTCTTCATAGGTTTTTAGCACAGAACAAAGAGTACAAGAGAGCTGTCCCCCCCTCCTCCTAACACATGCAATCTGACCAGCTAGACGCAAGTGCAGCCTGCATCTAACAGGGCACTGGGTTACCTACTGGGTGGCTTCTGTAAACCTGCATCTGAGGGCACTGATGCAGTAGGGCCCTGCAGAGGGTGTGTTTCCTTTGTCCCTTGTGGCCAACATAATGTTTCCATTTGAGGCATGTTTTAAAAAAGCAAAACAAGGATGCAATTCTTGGTTGCTGATGCCGAGGTGAGCAACTGGTGGCCCTCTAGGTGTGGTCTACAGCTGCCATCAGCCCCAGCTGATACAGCCAGTTGTGAGATGATAGGAACTGTAGGCCAAAAATCCGAGGGCACAAGCTTGCAGGAGAGCATGATGTCTATTCTCTTGCCTTTACTTATTAATTGTTACACTATTTATGTTTATGTTTAGGAGATACAGCGGCCTCAGACCTAACTTGCCCTACCCAGTTCTGGTTGTGTGCAGCTCCCGGTCTTTTTAAGATATTTTGTTCATCCACCATGACGTCAGTCTTCTGCAGGTGCCTCCCTGCCTTTAGAATTCCCTTGACATTAAAAGTATACATTGGCTGGATCTTGTCCAAGCCATCCTAGATGATGCACATTCATTTCCAGTTAACAGATACAGTGGGGTGATGGTTCTCTGTAAGAATCCTTTTCACAGGGGAAAGAACACTTCTGTATCCAGTGGAGTCTTGCTGTTGCTCCCCTCCCAGGCCCAACTTTTCTCATTAGAGTAATTGACAAGTATACATTTACATGGAGAAGAAAGGAAAGGGATGCCATTGGAATCATTGCAGGGACTAAATCTACTCTCTGTGGCTGTTTTATCCCAGCCATAAAAAATGGAGTCCGCATCTATCTGCATCGCACCATTCTGATTTATATAGTTTAGCCTGTAATCCTATGCACAGCTTTGACATGCATAGGAGTGTGATCTTAGTCACATTTAGGGCATAATCCTAGGCATGTTTAGACAAAAAGCTTGCATGGGATTGTGCCCTTAAAGTATGATGGGATGTTGACAGCCTGGAATAGGATTTTAGAAAACTGGATTAGGTAAATATTTCCATTAAAAAGCATGCTGGCAGTGGTTCTGCTTCTTCTGGAAGAGAAGGGGTATAGGAGCTGGAAAAGCAATGTGGTATTGGAGGACTGTGGAGCTCCCGAGGGCTCTGTTTTGGCTCCATGCTATTTTACGTCTACATAGCTAAGGTCATCAAAGTATTTAGGCTGGGCAGTGGTTGAAATACTACCGTATTTCTTCATTTATTAGAATCTTGAGGGTACATCTCCTGAATAAATGTCTGGAATCAGTAATGGGCTGGATGAGGACTAAGAAACTGAAACTCAGTCCAAACAAGTCAGAGATGGTGCTGAAGGCAAAGCTTACCCTACCAGGCAGTGGATGTTCAGCCTGTAATGGATGGACCTAAATTCCCTAGCAGTAAGCAACTTCTGGTCCCCAGACCATTTGACTTCCATCAGCATAGACAAGAATGAGAGATGATGGGAGTGTAGGTTAAATTGTATGCAGAGCCATGAGCTGTGTACCTGTGGGAACTGGTTTGCAGCTGGGTGTACTTTTAGGTACTGGGTGTGCCTTATTTTTGGAGTCCCAAGTGGAATCTGTAGTGTGAAGCTTCACTAACTACTTCAGCTGTTGTCCCAGTTACAACCCTTGTTGAATAGGAAGGGCCCTGCCTCTGTTATCCATGCTTTATTCATGTCAAATGTTATGTTGTTGTAATGCAATGCTTTGATTTGAGCTGGCCTTGACTATTGTGTTGATTTGAGGCTGCCTTGAGATACATCAATGATGGGATAGGGAAGATGGTGAACAAGAACAGCCTGCAGTGAACGTATTGCTCTGAAATTGCAGAATACACATTGCCTTCTGGTATGATTCTGTGCACAACTTGAAGTGGTAGTCTTGAACTCTGTGGCCTCAAATATCCTGGGTCAAAGGTATCCAGAAGACCATTACCAGCTGTGGACATTCCCATTCAATTAAATCTGTGTTGTAGACCTTCCAGTAAGTCCTGCCACCTTCCGAGGTGGGTTTTATTTGGGAATATAGACAGGGCCTTTTTCAATGCAGCATGACACTTCTAGAATTCTACTGCTTAAGGTGACCACATTTTAATTCATTTATTACATTTCTGTACCCTAGCCTCCCTAGGTGGCTTTCAAAGCATGAAGTACTGCTTTGTGGAAGGCAGTTTTCTGCTTGAAGGTATCTACTGTTTGAAGGGCTGTTCAGCTGAAGACCCTGGCAATAGAAAACAGGGCCTTGAAGGTGCCCATCAACAGTCAGCCCTTGGAGAACAATGCATTATGCTACAAAGGGCACCTGGTCATAGTCTTCTGCCTGAGAGTGAAAGATATGGAATTACCACATGAATTGCAGTATTATTTTCTAAATATAGATCTGTACATGCAAACTAACACATGAGGATGTCATGCAGAACTGTTCTCTTTTTTGGTGATGCATAAGTGTCCCCCTTATTTCCTTTTGAGAGGTTTACTTGGTTACCTTGACTGCTGGTGTTTGGGTGTCATGAAGAGACTTGCTTCTATTTCTGCCTGATTGCTAGTATGACTTCCAATAGGTCTGCTGTGATTTCAGATGCAAGTCTATCGTCCTCACCCTTGATGCACATACGCCTCCAAATGCAGAGACTTTACCTGCTACTTGTGCCCCAAATGAGCTACAGTGGTGACAACCTGACCCCCTGCTTTTCATCTAGATGGCCATTTTTGACCATCTAGGTAAAATATTAGGGAGAGAAAGAGACTGGGATGCTGACAGGACTTGGCTTGAGTCCTGGGCTTAACCTCCTTCCCTTCTCACCCTCAGGAGGCAACTACTGTGGTTATTTACACCCCAGCTGCAAGGGGAACAGGGAAGGACCTCAGCCTTCAGAGTGCCAGCTGCAAGATTGTAGGATCTCACAGTTGGGTCTCCTAATGATTCTATCCCCCACTCCCCCAAGGTCAGGAGGCTATAGGATTGTGCCTTTAGTTCCCGTTTCTTACTTTTTAAAATTACACCAGAATTCACAATTGTTTATTGTTTTAAATGTACTGTTATTGTGAGAAATACCTACTCAAGCCAGATCATAAAATGAAATCAATAAAAATTAATTTGTGATGGAATTTGAGACAGAAAACATTTTTCATTTTAACTATGTACTGAGATGGGGGCTGCAGCACTCCATTTCATGAATGTATTAATGCCACTAATGAGCTATGATATGTATTTACTTAAGTGCGGGATTGTGATCACAGTTGTTTTAAATTGCTAAGACTGCTGAACACTTGTCCGCGTACTACAAACTGCTTCACAGTACTTCTCATGTGTCCTTGTGGCAACCTTGTATGGCTGGGGTGGGGAAATGAAAGAGACTCAGCTGAGGCCACAAATAGATGTGGTTCAGCAGAGATGCTGTCCTTGATGCTACTGTATTTAAACCCTGCACTGATCTACATTGTCTGTCACGGTACAAACAAACACTCAGTGCATACATGCAGTTCTGCTGCAATGATAAAGTTTACCTAAATAATAGATTTGTGCCTGCAGCAGCTCATTAATAACAGCAGCATTGATATTCTCATTTAATGTTTAATACGTTCACCAAACCTGCCTGTCCCAGCACATTTCAGCATGCACTTATGTTTGTAATGGCAAATTGCCTTAAGTGAAAAGATTTTTTTCATAGAATGCTAGAGTTGGAAGGGTGCAGAGGGCCATCAAGTCCGACCCCCTGCTTAAGTTAAACCATCCCTCTCGGATGACTGTCCAGCTGCATCTTGAGTGCCTCTGGTCTGGGAGTGCCCACAACCTCCCTAGGTAGTTGGTTCCATTGTCGTACTGCTCTAACAGTCCGGAAGTTTTTCCCGATATCTAGCTTGAATCTGGCTTCCTGTAACTTGAGCCTGTTATTCCATGTCCTATCCTCTGGGATGTCAGAGAAGAGCTCCTGCCCTTCCTCTTTGTGACAGCCTTTCAAGTACTTGTAGAGTGCTATCATATCTCCCCTCAGTCTTCTCTTCTTGGATATGAGAAGATTTATTCCTGATGAAATCAAATGATTAAAAACAATCATTTTCTAGGCTGCAGACTTTGGGACTGGGGTTTATCCTCCATATTCACTTTAACTT